AGTGTCAGTGCTATAGAGACGCCAAAATCCCAGTCAAATAGGGGACTACTTATCTTCCCCAGTTTAAGATTAAACAAGATACATTCGTGATCTTTGCAGTAAGTTTTTGACAGTTTGCATATAATAATTGCTAAGTACGTTTTAAAAGCAGCGTGTGAAAACAGTACTTAGGCCCACAACATCTGCTCTGGCTCAGATTCTGCATGAATAAAGTTCGCTGAGTTTGGTCTGGGCTCCGTGCGTCCTGGACATGGAGGCCCAGCTTAAAGAGGAGAGGAGCAACATTTCAGACCACTGCTATTCAGTTTCCCGCCTAAAGCGGACACTCAGCCTGGAGAGCTTGTTTAATACATGGCAATCCTACAACACCCTACACAGCCTTCCATCTAACTAGCTACATGCTCACCAAGCAACTATTTCAGCCCGATGACCCATTATCCTGCAACCTGGTCTGTTAGCCGTGGTTAGTATGTAATCGGAAATCATGATTACTTCCACAACAGAAGGCTATAATACATGAAAAGTGGGAGTTAGAGGATTAAGAGTTCCTTCTTACCTTTCTAAACCAAGCACCTATTAGAGTTGGTTAAGTTCTTTGTCCATTTTTTTTAACATCACTTACAGGAAACCTAAGTTCTATCAGACAGCACAAACTTTCAGCCATAAGTTTACTCCAAAATGTTTGTTCCTACTGCATAACTGGCAAAAAAAAAAAAAAAAAAGAAAAAAAGGAGTTTATTAGAAGCAAATTTTTCTGATTTTACAGATTTGAACATTCAGCACTGTGCTTTTCAGGTATTCTTTAGTGTAATTTTGCCTTGGGGCTATTGTAAAGTGTTCACAAAGGGGTTAAAAAAAATCAGGGATTATAAAAGATCAAAATCCAGGCATGACTGAGTGGCAGTCATTTTAGCAATGCTAGAAGGTCATGAAACATCATGTTTTGGGCACGTTTGATCCAGGCACATGCAGTACAGCTAGCACTTCAAGACTGGCTGAATTGTGCAGAGTTATTCTGGATAACGCTGCTAACAGGGGAGCAATATGGAGCCATTGGTCGCCTTTAATTAAAAAACATAGAAGGAAAAAAGAATATCCATCAGCTGCGTATTGTCCAATTCTCCTGCAACCAAAAAACTTTTAATAGTGCCAGATTCTGGGCAAGGTATTCCACAGCTTATCTCCACATTGTTGTGAATAAAACAGTTCAGTTGTTTTAAACTGACCACCTTTCTTTGATGCTCCTTGTTCTTGCAGCCAAAAAGACAGCAAACAACTACTTATTCTTCTGTCTTTATTGCCACTCATCGCTCTGGAGATCTGGCATAGCCTTCCTCCCCAACATCTTCCAGTCTGGAGACTCCTATCTGTTTAATCATTCCCAAGAGTGAAGCTATGATCAAGCATACAAATTACCTTTGTGGTGGGTTGACCCTGGCTTGACGCTCTATCGCTCCCCTCCTCAGCTGCACAGGGGAGAGAAGATGTAACGAAAGGCTCATGGGTTGACATAAGGACAGGGAGATCACTCAGCGATTACTGTCATGGGCAAAACAGACTCAACTCAGGGAAATAAATTTAATTTATTGCCAATCAAATCAGAGTAGGGGAATGGGAAATAAAACCGTATCTTAAAACACCCACCTCTCCCTTCTTCCTGGGCTCAACTTTACTCCTGATTTTCTCTACCTCCTCCCCACCAGTGGCACAGGGGGATGGGGATGGGGGTTGCGGTCAATTCGTCACATGTTGTCTCTGCTGCTCCTTCCTCCTCAGGGGGAGGACTCCTCACACTCGTCCCCTGCTCCAGCATGGGGTCCCTTCCACAGGAGACAGTCCTCCATGAACTTCTCCAATGTGAGTCCTTCCCACAGGCTGCAGTTCTTCACGAACTGCTCCAGCGTAGGTCCTTTCCACGGGGTGCAGTCCTTCAGGAACAGACTGCACAGGGTCACAAGCCCTGCCAGCAAACCTGCTCCAGCGTGGGCTCCTCTCTCCATGGGGCCCCAGGTCCTGCCAGGAGCCGGCTCCAGCGCAGGCTTCCCACAGGGTCACAGCCTCCTTTGGGCGCATCCACCTGCTCTGGCGCGGGGTCCTCCACAGGCTGCAGGGTGGATATCTGCTCCACCGTGG